CTTTCCCTTGACCCCCACGTCTCTAAATCTTCAAGCAAAATTTTTAAATTAAGAAAAAACAGCTTTTTCTGTAGCTAGTCCTACTGACCTTTAAAAGGTGCTCTGTGTACATGTTTAATATTTCCATTTCTTTTATGAAAAGGGTGGATGGCAGGAATGTTTTCCTTTATTTTGTTTTTAACTTGATGTGCAAGTATCTAATATACTGGAAGGTACAGGAGGTGCAAAATACAGTGAGTTATATTTGGAATTTAAAAAACGCAAGTCACATGTTCTAACATTTTTGAAGAAGAGATGAATTAGTGCTTTCTTTTATACCAAAAGCTGCAGTTTATCAGTTTCCTTTGTTTAATGGAAATGGACTCAAATAAGTACATTCAGAATGCGTTATCCCGCCTGATATTTTTGATTTCTGTATTATTAAATACACTTACAGCAGTTTTGCAGATAATAGTTATGGATTATGTAAAGTCAGTCCTTTTCATGATTAGTGGATGTGAACTTGCACAGTCTATTTCATTTTGAAATAGATTTAAGTCATTTGAAAAGGAAATAATTTTTAAATTCCATTTTCTTAAAAGGAAAATCGTATTAGAGTTCAGTAAGATTATTCTACTATTGTTCTGCTTAACCAAGATTAAGCATACCTTTATAAGAGGAAAACCTTAAAATATTTTACTATTAACTAAGACTGCTTTTGCTGGATTTTGTTTTATATCTGTTGAAAGCAAGATATCCTCCAGTTGGAAATTTTCTTTAGACTTGGTAATTAAATATTTATAAAGACTGAGATTCCATTCATTTTTTAACTGTTAATTTGGTCTGATAAACCTTTCACTGTGTGCATTTGTATGAGTTTTATCTTAGCATTTTTTAATCTTTTTGAGACATGTTTTGGAATTAAATGGATTTAAAGTATCTCAAAAAGTTTCTAGAAATACTTTATATGTTTTATAGTGACAGTTATTTTTCATTCTTCCAGAGTGCCAGTATTCATGGGAGCAATATTAAGGTTATATCACAGAAACCATCAAACAGGTTTTGAGCGTAGGTCCTGTGCTAGGCACTGGGAATAAAGCTAACATGATAAGGCCTATCCCTTGCCTTCCAGGATTTCACAGCAAAATTAGAATTCGGTTTGTAAAATGTTGTGAATGAAGTATGCAGAAGAAAATTCTAGGGTATAAGAAAGTTTTGAAGAGAAGGTGATGCTTGAGCTATGTTTTAAAGAATGAGTAAGTGATAGAAGAACATTCTGGATTGGCTTGGAGGCATGAGAGCCTGGAGCAGTTAGGAAACAAGCAGGTGATGTTGTGGCTTGGGCACGAGAGAGTTTCTATTAGGGGAGGGAAGTCACAAGAGATAAGACAGGGAAGGGCCTTGTATTCTTGCTGAGGGGTGTGCAACTCATGATGTCGTCTGCCATACGGTCTTTGAAGGGTGCTGAATAAATGTTTGATGTGATCAGGTTTGTGCTTCAGGACAAAAGTGATGGATTGGTGAGCATGTGGTTGCAGGCATGGAGATGGGTTTCGGACTCCGCTGTGATAATATCAGTGAGAACGATGAGGCCTGAAATGACACAGTATAAAGAGGAAAGGAGCAGAGTGAAGAGGAGGTGACAGACTTTATTCAGTGCCTACCGTGCCTGTGAAGACATTGTTCTAGGCCTTCTACTTATGTCCTCATTTAGTCGTGAAAGCAGTTCTGAGGCAAGAATAATAATCTGTTTATTAGGCACCAGCTGTGTGTGGCAGGTCCTAATTGGGCACGTTAATACTGATAAACTTTATAACAACACTGCAAAGTTGGTGGCATTATCCTTGCTTTAGAGGTGATGTTGGAGCTTTCAGAAGGTCACTGGCCTGGCCCAAGGGCCCACAGCTAGACAGTGGCGTAAGTGGCGTTTGTACCCAGATTTAATTTTAGCATTCAGCCTCTTTCCACTATATCTGTGAGATGTAACGCGGACTGGTCAGGGAGGGGAG